GCTGGCCACACCACCTCGCCGGCCTGCATCGGCGCTGCTCGCTAACAGCACGTGCCCGCCACAGGCCGTCAAATGCGACAAGGGAAAACATTTGTCCTTTGTGTGTGTGTGTGTGCAGTCGTTTGAGGTTGAGTCGACCTAGGGGAGGCCCAGTAGCGATTCAGATATTCGCCACTGATGTTGGCCGTGAAGGGGGAATTGAACTCGGGTCGCCACGCTCGTAGTGCAGCGCGCTAGCCACCGCTCCACCAATTCTCACGTACACAAAAATACAAAGATCCCCCGTATAGCCTGAACAGACTGTTGGGGCAAGTGCTGTTAGCGTGCACCTATAAGGCCGGCACGGCACACGAGGGAGTGGGTAGCCGGCTTTGTCTCCCTAGTGGCGATGTTTACACACCGCGACCAGGTACTCATTTGAGGCTGAGTCGATCTAGGGGAGGCCCAGGACCGGTTCAGATAAATAATCGTCACGGGTATTGGCCGTGAGCGGGAATCCAACTCGGGTCGCCAGGTCCGATATACGCCCACAGATACACACATAGACACACACACACACACGCGCTTACAGACACACACACAGACACACACGCGCTCACACACACACAGACACACACACAGACACACACACACAGATACACACACAGACACACACACACGCGCTCACAGACACACACACAGACACACACGCGCTCACACACACACACAGACACACACACAGACACACACAGAGAGACACACACACGCGCTCACACACACACAGACACACACGCGCTCACACACAGACACACACACGCGCTCGCACACACAGAGACACACACGCGCTCACACACACGCGCTCACACACACAGACACACAAACACAGACACACACAGAGAGACACACACACGCGCTCACACACACACAGACACACACGCGTTCACACACAGACACACACACGCGTTCGCACACACAGAGACACACGCGTTCACACACACAGACGCAACATTCATCTCAGCGCTCGAATTCTTGACTCGTCTATGAAGCAGTCATTAATGGCACCCCCTGGGGAGCGCGGGGGGGTTAGAGGGGATGGAGGGGATGGAGAAGGTGGTGTGAGGTGGGGGGCTCTGGGCACAAGGCGACACTCGACCCCGCGAGCCTTCGTGTTCCGCCTTGGGTGGTCTCATCTGCTGGGTTTGGGGGATCACGAGAGGGAAGGGGGGTAAGGAGGGGGGTTTTTGAGAGCTGTTTGCCGGGCGTCGGGAGTGAACTCCGCCACGCGGAATCACAGCACCCTCGTGTGGCGAGGGTCGAGAAGGCGGACAAGGAAGGGGAACGTGAATACAGCGAGCGCATGAGCAGTCTAAATAGACACTAACCTAGCACTAACACACTAGCCCACCACTCTACCCCTAACACTAACCACACTAGCCCACCACTCTACCCCTAACACTAACCACACTCGCCTACCACTCTACCCCTAGCACTAACCACACTAGCCCACCACTCTACCCCTAGCACTAACCACACTAGCCCACCACTCTACCCCTAGCACTAACCACACTAGCCCACCACTCTACCCCTAGCACTAACCACACTAACCCACCACTCTACCCCTAACACTAACCACACTAGCCCACCACTCTACCCCTAACACTAACCACACTAGCCCACCACTCTACCCCTAACACTAACCACACTAGCCCACCACTCTACCCCTAACACTAACCACACTAACCCACCACTCTACCCCTAACACTAACCACACTAACCCACCACTCTACCCCTAGCACTAACCACACTAACCCACCACTCTACCCCTAACACTAACCACACTAGCCCACCACTCTACCCCTAACACTAACCACACTAGCCCACCACTACCCCTAACCACACTAGCCCACCACTCTACCCCTAGCACTAACCACACTAACCCACCACTCTACCCCTAGCACTAACCACACTAGCCCACCACTCTACCCCTAACACTAACCACACTCGCCTACCACTCTACCCCTAGCACTAACCACACTAACCCACCACTCTACCCCTAACACTAACCACACTAGCCCACCACTCTACCCCTAGCACTAACCACACTAGCCCACCACTCTACCCCTAGCACTAACCACACTAACCCACCACTCTACCCCTAACACTAACCACACTAGCCCACCACTCTACCCCTAACACTAACCACACTAGCCCACCACTCTACCCCTAGCACTAACCACACTAACCCACCACTCTACCCCTAACACTAACCACACGAGCCCACCACTCTACCCCTAACACTAACCACACTTGCCCAACCACCCTACCCCTAACACTAACCACACTAGCCCACCACTCTACCCCTAGCACTAACCACACTAACCCACCACTCTACCCCTAACACTAACCACACTATCCCACCACTCTACTCCTAACACTAACCACACTAGCCCACCACTCTACCCCTAACACTAACCACACTAACCCACCACTCTACCCCTAGCACTAACCACACTAGCCCACCACTCTACTCCTAACACTAACCACACTAGCCCACCACTCAACTCCTAACACTAACCACACTAACCCACCACTCTACCCCTAACACTAACCACACTAGCCCACCACTCTACCCCTAACACTAACCACACTAGCCCACCACTCTACCCCTAACACTAACCACACTAGCCCACCACTCTACTCCTAACACTAACCACACTAACCCACCACTCTACCGCTAACACTAACCACACTAGCCCACCACTCTACCGCTAACACTAACCACACTAGCCCACCACTCTACCCCTAACACTAACCACACTAGCCCACCACTCTACCCCTAACACTAACCACACTAGCCCACCACTCTACCCCTAACACTAACCACACTAGCCCACCACTCTACCCCTAACACTAACCACACTAGCCCACCACTCTACCCCTAACACTAACCACACTAGCCCACCACTCTACCCCTAACACTAACCACACTAGCCCACCACTCTACCCCTAACACTAACCACACTAGCCCACCACTCTACCCCTAACACTAACCACACTAGCCCACCACTCTACCCCTAACACTAACCACACTAGCCCACCACTCTACCCCTAACACTAACCACACTAGCCCACCACTCTACCCCTAACACTAACCACACTAGCCCACCACTCTACCCCTAACACTAACCACACTAGCCCACCACTCTACCCCTAACACTAACCACACTAGCCCACCACTCTACCCCTAACACTAACCACACTAGCCCACCACTCTACCCCTAACACTAACCACACTAGCCCACCACTCTACCCCTAACACTAACCACACTAGCCCACCACTCTACCCCTAACACTAACCACACTAGCCCACCACTCTACCCCTAACACTAACCACACTAGCCCACCACTCTACCCCTAACACTAACCACACTAGCCCACCACTCTACCCCTAACACTAACCACACTAGCCCACCACTCTACCCCTAACACTAACCACACTAGCCCACCACTCTACCCCAACACTAACCCACTAGCCCACCACTCTACCCCTAACACTAACCACACTAGCCCACCACTCTACCCTAACACTAACCACACTAGCCCACCACTCTACCCCCTAGCACTAACCACACTAGCCCACCACTCTACTCCTAACACTAACCACACTAGCCCACCACTCTACTCCTAACACTAACCACACTAACCCCCCACTCTACCCCTAACACTAACCCACACTAGCCCACCACTCTACCCCTAACACTAACCAATACTAGCCCACCACTCTACCCCTAACACTAACCACACTAGCCCACCACTCTACTCCTAACACTAACCACACTAACCCACCACTCTACCGCTAACACTAACCACACTAGCCCACCACTCTACCGCTAACACTAACCACACTAGCCCACCACTCTACCCCTAACACTAACCACACTAGCCCACCCACTCTACCCCTAACACTAACCACAATAGCCCACCACTCTACCCTAACACTAACCACACTAGCCCACGACTCTACCCCTAACACTAACCACACTAGCCCACCACTCTACCCCTAACACTAACCACACTAGCCCACCACTCTACCCCTAACACTAACCACACTAGCCCACCACTCTATCCCTAACACTAACCACACTAGCCCACCACTCTACCCCTAACACTAACCACACTAGCCCACCACTCTACCCCTAACACTAACCACACTAGCCCACCACTCTACCCCTAACACTAACCACACTAGCCCACCACTCTACCCCTAACACTAACCACACTAGCCCACCACTCTACCCCTAACACTAACCACACTAGCCCACCACTCTACCCCTAACACTAACCACACTAGCCCACCACTCTACCCCTAACACTAACCACACTAGCCCACCACTCTACCCCTAACACTAACCACACTAGCCCACCACTCTACCCCTAACACTAACCACACTAGCCCACCACTCTACCCCTAACACTAACCACACTAGCCCACCACTCTACCCCTAACACTAACCACACTAGCCCACCACTCTACCCCTAACACTAACCACACTGGCCCACCACTCTACCCCTAACACTAACCACACTAGCCCACCACTCTAGCCACTTTAGTTGACCTATCATTTGTGGCCAGGTCGCTTCTGAAAAAGAGCTACACACATCAGTGGGCCTTATCTGGTAAAATAAAAAAAAATAGTTTAAAAGTTTAGTTTCAGTGTGTATATGAGATCGACTCAGCCTCAAATGAGTACCTGGTGTAGGGGGTGTAAACATCGCCACTAGGGAGACAAAGGCGACCGGGCGTGGTTCTGACCACCCACCTCCTCGTGTGCCGTGCAGGCCATCCATCATAGGTGCTACTCGCTAACAGCACTTGCCCCAACAGCCTGTTCACACCTTACGGGGGATCTTTGTCTTTGTGTGTTCGCAAGGGGGCGCAGTAGAGCCCAGACTCAGGGCGGGGATGATTCGAGTCTTCATGGAGACGGGATTGTTGATTTTCGTCTCCGTGGTTACCAACCACCTCCACCACTTCCTCCTTCCCAGTTGCCTCCACTGCTTGACAATGTTACGGCTCTATTAACCATGAATATTTAACCACCGAGAGAGAGAGAAACACAAACATCAACTCTGGCTGGACTCCATCCGAGGTTTGTATCATCACGTTCGGATAATCCGTCGTTGGTACAGCTCTTCTATGCTGTCACATCCACGTCATCAGTTGTTTTTGTTGTTCTAGATTTGAAGCTTTCGTGACTGCAAGGATTCATATTCTTAGGTCTTTTTCGGTAAAAGTCACGTAGGTAAAAAATTTAAATTAATAAAAGTAAAAAATAGTTGTATCAAGTAAGAGATACAACTATCGTGCCGTGACGGTTCCACCTGAAGACGGATGCTTGTGTTGCCTCCGAAACGTCGTGATTTTTATTTTACTTTTATTAATTTAAATTTTTTACCTACGTGACTTTACCGAAAATACCTAAGAATAGGTTTTTGTTGTGTAGTTTGTAGTTTTTCGTCGAGCCAAGATCCACATTTATCCACGTTTCTGTTTGAACACTGGCATTGCACGCGTCATTGCTTTGTTGTTGATGCTGTGTCCAGTGTGTGTAGAACTACGCACCCATTTGGCTTATTTCGAGAGAGTCCTTGCCATGGAAACATTTGGCCAGCATTGCTTCAAGCAAGTCTGACTGCTGATGAGTTGAATTAATGTCGAAACCGGTTCACGGTTTGCTTGCATTACACCAATGCTGCTGATCGGGTTCAATCTCAGAAGTCCACGAGGCAGATGGGGATTTAGACATCATACTGTATATATTATTTGCAAAAGAAAAGTGTTGTTGGCTGGCTGGCAGGAGTTCATAACATTGTATGATGTGGAGGGGACATGTATGGGAAGAAGGATTTTTATTATTATTATTTTATTTTTATTAATTTTAATTTCATTTTTTACCTACGTGACTTCACCGAAAAAACTAAGAGTAAGGAGGAGGGTGTTTTCGTGCTGTTCGCATTCTCCACAACGACGCTCAATGATTAGTCTTGTGTTCTGTACTCATCTGGTGACGGGGGTTTTGCTTTGTTGGTGATCGAGATCATACCTTGATATAAAAGAGACTTTGATTCTCAAACGGGCTCTCATCCGTTTTTAATTCAATGTTTCCATCCATTGATCTGGTTTTGTTTGCCATCATCAAAGTCTGTCTTTTGAAATATTGCTCGTGTTTCAAATCAATGTTTTAATTTGTTTATTGGACGGGTAGCAGTTTAAATTATTTTTTTAACTCGGAATACAGACTCGGATATTTTTTTATTTCTTCCTTTCAAAAAGCGCTCCACTAAACCTGATCCTGGCGTTTCCTTCAGTAGCTACCCTGGGTCATTCATGCTGTGATGTGCTTCCCAATAGCGTCCTCTCCGACAGATGCCTTCAATTCGTTCATGTCAACTCGGAGCACGTGACCTTGCTGTCGTCTCGCTCGCATTCAACAAGAAGCTCCGCTGAGCAGCCCTCATGCGTGGCCTGATGAATCACGAAGCGCATCTGTGAACACCGCACGGAAACTTACACGGTAACGCGGACGATGCGTTCCTGAAATGTACAACGAACATACAGGCAACTTAAATAGAAGCGATCCACGGGGTCGGTTGGAGGCAAAGGTTGAAGCGCCACCGTGGCAGATTTGCTTATTTTTTTATTCTTCGTACGGCTGGGCGAAGCAGTTAGAGTTTTAAAGTCGAGGTTAGCGTCTTCGGGTGAGAAGGAGTGCGAGTGGTCGCGATGCCCATCGGAAAATGGATCTCTCAGGGTCAATGAGTTCGGTTCGTGGGGGCGATCGTCTGCCTTGGGTGGTGGCCACAGTCACAATTTGTGCTGCTCCTCTCGTGCCACTTGCTAAGGGGCCGCATCTTCCCTGGCCTGTGGGATAATGATGATGATGACGGTGTACGATTACACTGGTAATTTTGGGGTGCTGATTCCAAATCCGGCATCAGTTTTTTGTCTATCACATCAGGTTCTTGAGATCTCAAATATTGCATTTTCAATAAAAACAGCAAATTTATGCTCATATACGAATAGCTGAACAGACATCCATACACGAATAAGATACAATACAATATACAATAAGAATTATTGTACGTACGTTGAACTTCTTTCGCACCGTACGTAGTCGACCATGCTTATCGGAGGTGCGGAATGATAAAGATGATGACGACGGCGATGATGATGATGATAACGACGACGACAATCGCTGTGCCCCTAAGGCTTGCCGGTGACCCCGTGATGGTCCTGTGGGGGACGGACATGCGGAGACACATCACCGTGACGGTGCCCCGCGGGGGGCTGGAAAGTCGCGGGAGCAGCCGGATCGCTCACAGCTCCGGCGGCAGCGACCGCGGCGGCCGGACGAGCAGCAGCAGCAGCAACAACAACATCATCAGCAGCAGCAGGAGGAGGAGGTCGGCCTCGGAGAGCCGCGTGGCCCAGGGTGAACGCGAGACGCGGGCCCCAGCGGCTCCCGGCGATGAGGCCGCCACGCAACCTGGTCGGGCCCACGCACCGGCACAACAATTTGTCGCGACGTCCAATCTGCACAGGTGGGACCGTAGGGCCCCCCCGGGTGGGCGGGGGGGGGGCTGCTGTGCCGTTGTTGCTCTGGGAATCGATGACGATCGTCGATGATGATCGTCGATGTTCGATCGCCCCGTTGATAGTGTTCGTCGTGATTTTTTTGTATAACTTTAGAGAGTGCGTGGGGCTGCCATCTTCCACTCCGGACCTGCTGTGAAGAGGTGACGACGACGATGATGATGATGACGACAATGACGATATAAACGTGCATCGCCTTTGCCAATCCACTGCTGGGTGATTGCTATTTTTCATGAAGCGTGTCTGTTGTAATCTGTAATTTGGAGAAAGTTTGATGGTGTCTCCCGGCCCCTTCAAAAATAGATTCTTAGCTCAGTGATCCTTTACTCGGGACGAACTCTTCTGGTTCTGGCGACGCCCCCAGAAGTTGGGGGCGTCGCAGTTGGCTCTGCTGCACGTGGCCTCTAATCCAGCGCTGTACCCTGACTCGCCACGAGAAGGCGGCAGAGCAAAACACGTGGACTTCCACCTGTTCTGTCCGTATGGCACTGAGCGTTCCGTCTGTATGGGATAGAGTGTTTCCCCCTCGCACGCGTGTATTTTCCCCGGGCGCTGCGGTTTCCTCCCACATGTCGTTAGCGCTCATTAATAGGCCGATAACACCTTCACATAGCGAGGACGGCAGAGCTTGGGGAATTGTTGGCGCCGGCTCACCGCGTGGCCGCCCTCCTGCTTGTCTCCGAGTCGTCCTGATTCGTTGTCCCGCTCTACAAAAGTGAGCGAATCGCGGCGCGTCCCAAGTTGCAATGACCATACTTCACCACGCTGGTCGGCCGGGTCTCTTGGCCACACGACCTCTTGGTGGCGCACCGTGGCCGCTCGCTTCGCCCCCCCGACGGTCCCTTTAGGGCCATTCCGTGTTGGGGTGATCTTTGTCTTCGGTCTTTAGGGCCACACGAGCAGGCGGCGGCGGCGGCCTGCATCCAGCGCTGGTGGAGGTCTCACAACGGGCGGCTACTCTTCCTCCGGCTCCGAGACGCCCTCCACCTCGCGGTGAGAAGAGCCCAATGCGATACGATGGGGGCAGGGCAGGGGGGGGAGGTTGACCATACTTTACCACGCTGCTCAGCGCTGTCCAGCGACGAACGGACCAACGGTTCGGTTGTCACTTGTTTGTTTCGCGCCACGGTCGGGAAACGGAAGCGTCGTGGGGGTCACACAGAAAGGATAACGCTCAAGAGCCCGCGGTTAGACGGGGGGGATAAATGTGGGGGCGCCGCAGTGGCGAGATGTTAACTCCCTCGCCTGATATGCCGGAAGTCGTGGGTTCGATCCCCACCCTGACGCCTGTATATGTGGAGTCTGCATGTCTTTCTCTCTTCCCTGTGGTCGCATGCATTTTTCTCCGGGTCCCCTGGATTTCCCATCCACATTTAGAATCAACATCACGCGATTAGCGTATTTGGCTCTGGTTTCCTCCTATATATATGTAACATCTCTGAAACATCTTAATACATAGAGAATTGCAGAGCAATATTTTTTGCGCCTGCTCATCCGCCTGTCAGCCTTCCAGCCCATGTGCGATCCCTACTCAGCGATTATGTGAGATGCAATATACATGGATGACGACGCTATATGAAGCCAAAATGTATTTTTGTATTTCATTTACCAGGGCGGCTATTGGATTAGAACCGCGAGCCTCTGCAACGAGCGGCAGACGCGCCCCTACCCCTTGGTGGATGATGTGTGTGTGTGTATATACAGCGTCACTATCTCGAGGCTTTGTAGAAATCGAGCAGGCTTTGTACGAACGAACACCGCGCCATCGTCTGCTCACTCATCCGATGTCATCGCCCACCCCACCCAGGAGAAGTGCCTGACCTACGACCTCCTGAGGAGAGTGAGCCCAAAAGAGGCGGAGCTCCTGAGAGATCCCAGCATGCAGTGCCGCGTGCGTCTTCGGTGAGACGGTCTTCGGGTTTCTTCTTTTTTAAACATCGCAGTTTGCCGAGCACCGCGGCCCAAACGCCACAACTACGAACAACACCAAGTTGAATGTCACGTGACCAGCGCATTGCACAGCAGAGTGGCACGACTCCCAGCATGCCTTGCGTGCTTGTCACGTGACCAGCGCATTGCACAGCAGAGTGACACGACTCCCAGCATGCCTTGTGTGCGAGTCACATGACCAGCGCATTGCACAGCAGGATGACACGACTCCCAGTATGTCTTGCGTGCTTGTCAGGTGACCAGTCATTGCACTGCAGGGTGGCACGACTCCCAGCATGCCTGGCCTGTTTGTCACGTGACCAGCGCATTGCACAGCAAGGTGGCACGACTCCCAGCATGCCTTGCGTGCTTGTCAGGTGTCCAGTCATTGCACAGCAGGGTGGCACGACTCCCAGCATGCCTTGCGTGCTTGTCACGTGACCAGTGCATTGCACAGCAGGATGACACGACTCCCAGCATGCCTGGCCTGCTTGTCATGTGACCAGCGCATTGCACAGCAGCGTGGCAGCAACTCCCAGCATGCTTTGCGTGTCGACGACAGTGATGGCGGTGCTGTCAACCATATTGCAGGCTGGCGGGCGACCAATTTCCACCCCGAGTCGTCTTCAAGATCTTCAGCCGGCCCGGCGCGACGAGCAGCACTTACATGAGCGGCCGCCGCCTGATCCAGCCGGCCAGCCAGGTGACCGTGGGCAGAGCCGTCCCTTAAGGGTACGGCGAATCGGGGCTCCCGTCCCGGGCCCCGTACTTTGGGGGGTGTTATACTTCCGGTTTAGGTTGAAGGCGTCGGGGAAGGTGAGGGGGGTGGTGCCCATATTGTGGGATTGGCCGCCGCATCATGTTCGAGAAGGGAGCGTGGTCAGGTGACGGAAGAGGACGGTGGAGTCTGCCGGTTTGAGCGAGCGTCCAGAGTCAGCGAGAATGATCGAGAAGGGGGGCGTGGCCTCGTGCTGAGATATAAGGGAGAGATGCGCGGGAGACCTGGGGCTGTTGCAGTGGGGGTCTCCGCCTAATGTCAGGTGAATGTGTCTTCAATAAAGTGCCATCTAAAGAGAAGTGTGTCAAGTCGTCACTACACATGCCTGGTGCGTTGTGCAAAACATCGCCTGCTCGTATCACCGTGTTGCCCGTAATCAAGTGTTTGCTCACAGCACTTGCCCCAACATACTGCTAAAGGCTATATGGGGGGGGGGGGATCTATCTTTGTCTTTGTCTAGGCAGCCAAGGACGCGCATCACATGATGGGCACCCGCAGCTTCTGCAAGCAGATCACGCTCGATGCTCAACTTCACGAGAGGGCAAGAGTGACGGGCGAGGTGGACGTCACCACTGGCAAGGACTACATGCAGGTGTGGGGAGCGGCCACCTTTGACTCCCTGGTGCCGGGGTGTAGGGAACATCGCCGCCTGTTGTAGTGTGGAACGTCCGCGCTGGGAAGACAAAGGCGGCCGGGCGTGGTGCTGGCCACCCACCCCCTCGTGTGCCGTGCTGGCCTTCATAGGTGCTGCTCACTAACAGCACTTGCCCTAACAATCTGTGTATGGCTATATGGGGGATCTTTGTCTTTGTGGGGAGCAGTGGCGAAGTGGGTTAGCGCGCCGTGCACTTGCCCCAACAGTCTGTGTATGTCTATATGGGGGATCTTTGTCTTTGTGGGTAGCGGTGGCGAAGTGGGTTAGCGCGCCGTGCACTTGCCCCAACAGTCTGTTATGTCTATATGGGGGATCTTTGTCTTTGTTGTGGCGTAGTGGGTTAGCGCGTCGCGTACCCGGCGGACCCGAGTTCGATTCGCGCTCGCGGCCAGCAGACATCTGAAACGAACGAGTGCCTCTTGTGGTGTGTAAGCGTCAGCGCTGGGGGAGACAAAGGCGGCCGGGCACGGTTCTGACTACACCACCCCAATTTAGGACCTCACCGAACAAGAGTCTTTAGGCAGAAGAGGACCCCTCGAGAGGACTGCCGCTCTTCCACTGTGGCCAGACGTCTTGAAACAGTTGGGCATGCCCACGCTTTACCCCACCACACGGGGGGAGGGCGGGGGGGGGGGGTCGATACATGAAGCGTCGTCCGGTCGTTTAAACTCGCCGCGCCGGGAGAGCCGATGGAAGCGGCGATGTCTGGACCACCGCCCGCTCGCTCGCTCGCTCCACCTCGATGCGTGGCCCCCGCCTCGTTCCGCCCCCCCTCCCCCCGCAGTACGCGAGCTACCTGGATGAGACGGAAGCTCGTCTGGGAGGACGGGGCAACAGGTGGCGGACGCTGAGCCTGGCCGAGCTGCCCCGCGGCGACAGGGGGCGGCAGGTCGCGGCCGCCGCTCCCTCGCCACCGCTCGCCCCCGTCGTCGGGGATCGTCGCTCCCACCGGGACGCCCGGCCGGGCGGCCGGTGAGGCACGGTGCGGTGCCGCGTCTGGATGGATATAACGTGTGTTTGTGAGGATGGACCGAGCGAAATGTGCGCAAGCCGATAGTAAGAATAAAAACATTGCAATTTAATAATTGCTAATAGTTTATGGTTTGTTACTCGCACAGATGTTGTTGATTCAGAGGCGCAGGAAACCAGACGAGCCAAAAGGCAGCCAGAGGTAATTCAAACGATTCGCCCAAGCTCTGCGATCCTATAATGCCGATACCTCGCAGCGTGGAACGTATAAGTTGTGATCACTAATAATAAGAAAAAAAACGCGCCGGGAAGCGTCACAAAATCCATGCGTGCGCACGATTTTTCTTCCTTGTTGCTGCTTGCGTGCTCCCAGGTTGTCCTCGGGTCCTCCGGAGGTCGCTCGACACCCGACGCAAGATGCCTCCTTCTCCTCGTCGTCGTCAAGGCGACGCTGGCGGTCCAGGCAGGCTCTGCTCCGTCTGGACCGCTTGCGCCGCGACTACGGCCTCGCGCCTCCTCCCTCTGCACGAGTGGGGACTCGCACGAGGGAGGACGATAACGATATATTTATACGTATTATATTTAATGTATATAACTATATCATCAATTTGCCGCTGCCGTGAATAAACCCGCCCCCCCCCCCCCCCCGTGTTGCTTGCTTTGCCCCAACTCACAGGGCGACGAAGAAGGTGACGCCGGGATGGGCGATCGTGACCGGGAAGCCTCCGTCCTCCCCGGCGTGAGGTCGGTGTTCGGCACAGTTTGGCAGAACAGAACGTTCCCCAATCCCTCCCCTCCACTGCTCCTCCACCCTCGATTGTTGAGAATCGGTTGGAGGTGGGTTTGGATGGGGGGGGGCTGCTCGTGCGTTTGTCGCTCCGGAGTCATCTCGCGGTTCCGTCCGCCGCGCCCCTTCACCGTCGGTTCCGATCGCGCCGCCGATACATCGGGCGTGCTCGTTGGCAGTGCTGCGCAGTCGAATATGCAAATGGAGTCTGGCTTTTTTAAATCCTTTATATTAAGTTCGCATGCTTGCTTGCTTGCTTGCGTGCTTGCGTGCTTGCTTGCTTGCTTAAGACCGTGAAAATCTTTCGGTCGTTTTTTAACCCACTTCCCGTGATCCAATCGAGCTGACATTTTCCACACAGACTCGTTGTGCGAGACAATTAATGTTCGTGAAAAAAAAATTCCCAAAATTGTACACTGTTTAGGGAAAACAAATTAAATATTTAATTACCAATTGCTTAATACTGGCAGACAATCATCTGACCCATAGGTGGCAGCCATCTCAAGCCAGAGGACGAGAGGACTCTAGCCGCCACGCATATAAAGGATTTATAGTGAAAAACTTTGTTTTTACGGGTTATACTTATTTACTTTAAATCACGATTGCCGAGCAAAAGGGGCCCAAAATGCCACGCGGCCAGCAACCAACGGCACGACTAACGCTGGAATCGTTAAGGCGTTCATTTGTTTCCTGAATTGAGCAAGGTTGTTGTAAGGAAAAGAGGCATAGGAATGTAGAGCTCGGCTATTATATTATGTAAGTAATCGATTACCGGTTATCGGTTCGATTACTCGACTAACCAGACGACATCGAAATATTTGGCAACGTCCCACCCACCTCTCTCTCTCTCTCTCCATGCGTGCCGCTCGGACGGGAGGTGACAGGCTAGGCTTGTTGGGGGGTTTCCTGCCTTCGGACGGCAGGATGTGGTGGAAGCCGCGGGTTTTTTTTTATATTCAGGAGCCCTGAGTAACCGGCCACAGAAAAGGCAGTCGATTATAATTTTTAAGTCTTAGCTCTCTCACCTGAATGTAACCACACGTCGAGACACTGAACGTGCGGCGGACACGGCAGTACGCAATTGAAAGAAACCCAATCCTCCTACCGACGGACCGATGCCTGGTGCCACCACAGGGACAGCTTCCACTCAAGCGGGGCCTCCCTGGGCGAGAGAAACACAAAGCTAAACCTTGAGATGTGATGCAGGGTGCTTTTAAATAAGCATTCGAAATGAAGTCCTTGCATCTGCGCCTGTCCACGCCGGCCTTTTTTTTAGTGGGTCGTTTTATCTTCTTGGTTCTTTCGGCAAAGTCACGTAGAATGGAAACAATACAAATAATAAAATAAAACATAATAAAATAATTCTCACGACGTTTCGGCCACAATGCAAGCAGCCGTCCTCAGGTGAAGACCAGGTCTGTCGGGGAGACAGCGTCTGAATGAAACAGCACCATGCTTGAAGCGTATATTTAAGCTGGGTTGGAAGGAGGGGGGGGGAATGGCGCCTTGACAAAAGAATTTGCATCTCAAGAGGAATCTAGCATATTTATGGGCATATTCATGGGAAATGCAGGTATGTGATTAGTACTACTTATACCCGTGCATTATGCAGGACTATTATATTTAATTTTATAATTTTTATTGTTTCCATTCTACGTGACTTTACCGAAAGAACCAAGAAGATGAATCCCTGCAGTCACGAAAGCTTTAAATCGGGTAATTTTATTTTCCAGCGACGAGCCTCCTGGCCGCGCGGACGCAACGGCGGACGAGCGTCGCCCGCGTGCGACCGCGGCGGAGTGCGGCCGGTGGGCCGAGGAGGCGTGGGAGGAGGAGGCGGAGCTCCTGTTTGCCTGGGCCCGAGATCTCTCCCTCGAAAGCCTCGACTTCTACGCCGACCAGGAGCTCGGCTGAGCCGTCGCTGACGACGGCGACGACAACAAAAAACCCGTGGAAGCGTGGGCACACGCACGCGCGCGCGGCGTCCTTCTGCCAACAACGCACAGCGAGATTTGCACGTCTTCTTGGTTCTTTCGGTGAAGTCACGTAGAAGGGAAATAATAAAATAATAAAAATGTAACATGATTAAAAAATATATTTTAAAAATAAAATAATAATTATTTTTTATTGTTTTATTTTTTAAATTTTATTATTTTTCTTCTACGTGACTTTACCGAAAGAACCAAGAAGATGAAACCCTGCAGTCACGAAAGCTTTAAATCGAGATTTGCACGGTTTGTTGTTATCGATTCAGTGAATTTGGGGCTAAACGGAGCTCCGTTTTGCACGATGAGACCTGGTGTGCTACGTGTCTTGCGGGAGGCAAATGTTTTTTTTGGGATTGTTATTACTGTCTTATACAGCGTTGTGCGATGCAGTGTTGCATAAACGCTCTCGATAAAGCAATAATCATTATTACGAAGGCCAAAACCGGTCCAGAATTTTCTTGCGCATAAGGCTGATCCGGAAAGAGCCGTCGGAAGATGGTGGCTACGCACGCCGGTTATCGAGCACTTGGAGGCGAGGATTGGTGGATCGCACAAGCGTTGCGAAGCTCCCTTTCCGTGGGCGATCGATGAGGTGCCTTAAACCCCGACTCGTGGAGAAGGTGGTACCGCAAAAAGTTGGCTCACTCGTGTGGGTTTCCTGCCCGTGCTTTGCTTTTCTCCCACATTTTAAACTGATTAACTGCCTGGAAACATCTGAAGTTGTAGGGGACTGCAGAGCTTGGGCAATTGTTAGCGCCCGCGCATTGTCCGGCTACTTTCTTATTATCATTATAATATGGACAAAAATGTGTGTTCATTTGGAAAATTTATTTTTTGCCTGTCCATTATATATTTCAAACAAACTCGTGTCCGATTGATAAGTGATTTTGGGTGTGGCCACAAAATGGATTGGCCATCATCCTCCCGGAGGTCGATAAAGTTGGTACCATTTTGTGGCGAAGTCAGCGGTGTATTTTCCTCGGGCTATGCCCACCGCTGCCATAGGAATGGCTCGGCGCTGTAAGCGGTGGAAGAGCGCTGCCAAGGTCGCTCATTTGAGCAAGAAATCTCTTGAAATGTCTCTGTACGGTTAGCATAACGCGGTTTCACAGCGGTCAAGAACTACTTTCTTGAGCTGCGCGGCTGAGCGGTGCGATCCGGTACGCGGAGTGATACAGTAACGCGGCGGCGTACCCTCAGTTATTTGTTCTGCCATCTCACTGCGTGTGCATGGTACTACATCGTATCTCGCCAAACTTTATCGTCACATTAATTATGGGTAAATAGTTTTAGATTAACGCATACGGAATTTTTTTTATTTTTTTTTATTTTACCAGCTAAGCCCCACTGAGCTGTGTAGCTCTGTTTCAGAAGCTACCTGGCCACAAATGACAGATCAAAGAAGTGGCTTATCACGTGGAAATATATAGCAGCCAAATACTCTAAACGCGTGATGATGATTCTAAATGTGGAGGGAAAAAACCGGGGGACCCGGAGACAAATCCACGCGACCACGCTGAGAGAGAGAAACACGAAAACTCCAAATATACAGCAGGCGTCAGGGTCTGGATCGAACCCACGACCTCCTGCACACCGGGCGAGGTAGTTAACATCGCCGAGCCACCGCATTACACGATCAACGACTGTGAGATTCGTTCTCCGCTACCGTGGCGACCTCAGCTTTAACGGGGCCACCGCGTAGATTTTCCGGAGCGTGGAGCAATGCCCCACACCCCAGTCTGGCCACCCATCACCCTATCCTTCCCACGCAGTGAACGGCGTCACCGTAAATTATTTTATGATCATAATAAGCCAAGAATGTGTGTGTGTCCCGCGCGTGACGTCACTCCACATGAAGCACATCTCCCGCGTGACATCACTCCACAATAACAATGAGGAGGTGACGTCACTCCACATGCTGCACCCCTCCACAATAATCATTAGCGGGTGACGTCATTCCACATAGGCAACACCCCCCCCCCCCCCCACTAATTAATAGCTGAAGAACAGGTCTGTCGAGAAGACAGAGTCTGTCTTCTCGACAGACCTGTTCTTCACCTGAGGACGGCTGCTTGCGTTGTGGCATAAACGTCGTGAGAATTATTTTATTGTTTAATTTTTTTTTATTTCCATTCTACGTGACTTTAACGAAAGAACCAAGAAGATGTTTCAAATCGTTGTAAACTATTGTCATTGTAGTGCGTATTTAATGTGGCGCTGCACTCTGATGTCGGAGAAAACATAAAAAAGTATAATTAAGTTGAACGTGTTGTCTATATTAATTTAAAGTTGCGTTTTTGATGTGACGTCACATTTCTCCAACCCCCCTTCCCCTCGTCACACATCGTCACAAATGTCTGACCCCCCCCCCCCCCCCGGTGCGTGACGTCATTTATGGACGGCCCCTAATGATATGGCCAAATTTGTGTCGGTGCGGTCCTCCAGCAAACTCGCACGGGCCAGGCAAATGAAATTGTCACGTGGTGTACAGAGTTAGCAGCAAGACAAGGAGGTTTAGATTGAAACTGCGGCAAGTGAGGGGGCAACGCTCAATCCCAGGACAGGATCCAGGGGAAGATTGGAGCGAGACGTTAACCGTGTTATTTTATCTGTACACACAGAGATTATAATCGTGTAAAAGAAGATTTCATCGAGCGGTGAATTGAACATGGCCCATGATGTACAATATTTGTACGGATTGAAACCGTAATTTAAGTCATCAATGTTTGATTTTAGTTGTCCTCTTTCGACGGCAATTCATCAAGTTTTTTTTTTTATAACCAACAGCGCGTCTCTATATATACACACGTATCTAAATGATTTTATTACGTCAATTGCTTTGATTGTGATTTTAATTTCGATGTATCTAGCATCTTATAATTAAAAAGTCCAAATCGTGTGAATTGTGACACCCTTCTTGTCTGTGTTTTTTTTTGGGTCTCAATCTCATTGCTTCTGTTTCGTAATTGAGACTTGTCTTTACCTACAACTTGCACATGAAGGAACCCAGCCGTTCGGAGCCGGCTTTTGGCGACTCGCTCCGGCTTCCGCTGTGCGTGGTGAAACGGCAAATTTAAACTAGCACAATAATTAAATTCTCACGAAGTGTACACCGTTTTTGAAACCCTCGCGTCTGCAATCCACCTCCTGGGGGAGGGGAACCACCAGAAAATGCACACCTGATTAGTGATTACATTTGCATGTAAAAGGCGGCTGTAGCTGGAACTGATTTAGCTAAATGGGGGAGGTGGGAGAGGCCTTTGGTGTGGTCGGGAGCCAGGATAGAAAATCTTGCCATGCCAGGTGAGGCAGAGGAGGCAAACCACCAGAGCGCTTGCCACCTCCAGCCAGTCAGCCAGCACCTTCTAGCCAGCCAGTCAGCACCCTTCAGCCAGTCAGCCAGCCAGCTGAAAACCTCCAGCCAGCCAGCTGGAAACCTCCAGCCAGCCGGGAACCTCCAGCCAGTCAGCACCCTCCAGCCGAACCGAACTTCAGCGAGGAGGGGATGAGTCTTCCTGAACTGTAAGTGCCAATCTTGATTGTTAAGTGCCAGTTTGATAGAATTCGTCTTCCACGGACGCAGCGAGATCCCGTGAGACGCAGGTGGAGGCTGTGAACACTCGGGAGCTCCGTTGTGGTCAAATGCCCAGTCTCGAAATGTCTGTATGCATATTGAGCTTCTTTCGCACCGTACGTAGCCATCCGTTCACAATGGCGCTGCTAAGGCGACTTGCGCACCCATGCGCTGTAACGTGATATAAATCCGCAGCAGAATGAATTCTACACTGTGTTGTTTGTTCTAATGTTCGATCATAGCTCGACCGCATGACGATTTGTGGCTCAAAGTCCGCTGGTGGCCATGTGTTAGCATGGACTACTGGCGACCATGAGCATCCGAAATCGTGAACATTGTTTATCCTTTAATTCTGTCGCGGATTACACGATTTACTCTTCTAGATTTGTCGGGAACCCCAGGGTAAGTGGACGCTTTCCTGAACCTATTTGCACTAATACGTGGTCATAGCTTTGCCATGGTGGGGGGGGGGGGGGGGGTAATGGGAGGCAAACCATGTAACGAGTTTCGATTTAAAGCTTTCGTGACTGCAGGGATTCATCTTCTTGGTTCTTTCGGTAAAGTCACGTAGAAGGGAAGTAATAAAACAATAAAAATAAAACATAATAAAATAATTATTCCACCTCCAACCCAGCTTATATATACGCTCCAAGCTTGGCAGTGTTTCATTCTTCACCTGAAGACGGCTACTTGCGTTGTGGCCGAAACGTCGTGAGGATTATTTTATTATGTTTTATTTTTATTATTTTATTATTTCCCTTCTACGTGACTTTACCGAAAGAACCAAGAACATGTAACGAGTGTGTCGATTCTCTAAATGTCCGGCTGCAGGGGATAATAAACTCCGAAGCCCTGATACCCAACGGTGTTGCCCCTCTGTGTTGCTGCAACCTTTATCAGCATTCACCCGCATTGCCAGTCTGGTGAAGCGGATAGGGGCCGTCCATAAATGACGTCACGCACCTAGGGGGGGGGGGGGTCAGACATTTGTGACGATGTGTGACGAGGGGGGGGGTCACATCAAAATGCGCAACTTTAAATAAATATAGAATTGTTATAACAACACTGCTACAACATCACAGTTCAGAGCCACATTAAATACGCGCTACAATGACAATAGTTTAAAGCGATTTGAAGCATGTTTTATTTTCTAAATGGAAATATGGTTTTGGGGGGGGGCAGAGCTTTGTGACGTCATATTTGAGGGGGTTCTGACTTTTTGCGACGCCGTGTGACGAGGGGGGGGGGCGGTTCAAAAATCATCCAAAATCGCGTGACGTCATTTATGGACGGCCCCATATCGCTTTGGTGGAGGAAGGGCCTGGAGCTTTTGAGAGACGCGGGTTGGGTCCACCCCGGCCCACGAATGATGCGACGTTGACAAGATCGGATTGCGATTCGCGTGTTATCGGTAGTTGCCGGGTGAATTGCAGCTCGCTGAGTCTTCCCACGAACTTCCACAGGTTTTGGAGGACTGGGGTCTGTCTATCAGTCCGGTTGTTTTGACTCGTTCCCACCGTTCGAGCTACCACACCTGCCGGGCCCACCACTACGCGCGCGCACTTAATGTTGAAGCCAATGCAGCGTTGGCCTGTTTTTCTTTTTTAAACAATGCTGCTTGCCTAATAATTCGGTGAACTTTGTTACACGGATGCCGCTCTCGTGTGTGTATAACACTGGTCAACAAAAAAACTACATTTTTTTCTGGCCTGGACTTTTGCAGCTGTTCTAGACTAATTTCAGGGTGCTGATTCCACATGTGATCTCAGATTTGCTCTATCACATCTCATTTTTATGCTATCGGCATACCCCATTTTCATTGATTTTACCCGAAATTAACTCTGTCACTTATGATTGCAAGTTGTTGCGAGTCAGTGACTGCTTTAGTGGTAAATAATGGTGCTGTATTTTTAGGATAGTGTGTTTATAATATAATTTTATGTAGATATCCATATTTATTTAATATTTTTCTTCTGCAGTTTTAATTGAAAATGCAATATTTGATATCTGAAAAACCTGATGTGATAGACAAAAACTGATGCCAGATTTGGAATCAGCACCGAAAAAATTACCTTACAACCGTTGGAATACCTTGTGCCAAAAAAGTGTGTTGACGAGTGTTATGTATGGGGAGCAGTGGCGCAGTGGTTTGCCTGCTATGCTAGTGGCCCAGAGATCAGAGTTCCAATCCCGTTCACGGGCAACTCCAGGTGACGAGTATCTGAACCGATCCCTGGGCCTCCCGTAGGTCAACTCGGCCTCCAAAAAAATAGTACCTGGTTTGTGTATACATCGCCACCTCGGGAAGGGAACCTTTGGCGACAAATCCGACATTTAAAACTTCCAGGCTGGATTTGAAACGTGTAATGTTTTTTGTTAATGCCCATTGCGACACCACGCGTGAAATTGCCATCAGAGGGCGCAGTTGCTACACTGATACAGACGACCCGGCTCCGTGGTGTTGTTTTGACACCCAAAGCCACGTGCCGTCACGGCAACTCGCAGCTAAAGTAAACATTCTATTTTTTTCTACCTACGTGACTTTACCGAAAGAACCAACGAGTATGGATTCCTGCAGTCACGAAAGCTTCAAATCAAGATGATATATATTTTATTTTACCAAGTAAGAGGCCGGCCATAAATGACGTCACGCGATTTTGGACGATTTTTGACCCCCCCCCCCCCCTTCGTCACATGGCGTCACAAAAGTCAGACCCCCCCCTCAAATATGACGTCACAAAGATCTTCCGCCCTGCCCCCCAAAAAATATAAAACATGCTTCAAATCGCTTTAAACTATTGTCATTGTAGTGCGTATTTAATGTGGGGCTGCACTCTGATGTTGTAGGAGAAAACATTTATTTAAAAGTCTATTTAATTTAGTAGAACGTGTTGTCTATATTTATTTAAAGTTGCGCATTTTTACGTGACGTCACATTTCTCAACCCCCAACTTGTCACACATCGTCACAAATGTCTGACCCCCCCCCCAACCCCCCTAGGTGCGTGACGTCATTTATGGACGGCCCCTAAGGCCCACGTAGCTCTAGTTATTTTCAGAAGTGCCCTGGGCTGTCGTAAATGATAGCTCAACGAAGTGGCTTATCGCGTGGAAATTGATAGCAGCTACCAAAAACTCTAAACGCGCGTGGTGTTGATTCAAAATGTAGAGGGGGGGGGGGGGGTGAACCGGAGGACCCGGGTAAAAATTAAAGCGACGACGGGGAGAGACGCGCAAACTCCAAATATACAGCAGCAGGCGTTAGTGTCTGGATCGAAGTCACGACCTCATGTGTACCAGGCGAGACAGTTAACATCTCACCACGGCGGCCGTGGGTCAGTGGCGTAGCTAGGATATTTTGCGCCCGGGGACGAACTATAAAATTGGCGCCCCCCCCCCCCCCCCCCGTTTAATCACATACCAAAATGTAATTGCATGACATGTAGGCTGTGTGTGGCGGGATATATACACTTTTAGGTTGAGGTGTAGATTTGTGCAGTAGTTTCAGGCTGCCGCGCCCGCCGCAATAAGTTATAATGTCACGTTGTAAGCCTAATTTTGGCGCCCCTTTACCGTGGCGCCCGGGGACACATGTACCCCCCTGCCCCCCCCCCTAGCTACGCCTCTGCCGTGGGTAGACCCAGCGCTTAAGTTGAGCAGGAACCCGGTCATCCAACTTCGCCCGGTGACAGTAGCCGCACCATTCTCACGGCCAACATTTGGCAGCAATTGTCCACCAATTATTACATTTACGCGGCCTCGCTCAAAAAATGCATCAAGAATCGTTATTTTTGGCGGTGAAAGCCGAAGCGTTCGAATTATAACGCGGCGCGCAGACTCACAGCCTACACCAGCCGCGTGACTGCTAACACGTGCCCTGTCACCAGCTATTACTGCCAACACCGGCTCAACCAGCACGTGTGTGTGTGTGTGTACGATACGGCAAAACCATCGCTTAACAACGCGTGGCGTTCACACGCCACGCGTTTTCGCTATAAAGCGGTTCTTCCACGTGTGAAAGCGAACCGCCACACTCTCTCCCCATTTAATAGATGGCGATTAGTCCACACTTGTTGTACCGCCATCCAGCGAGCCCCGGAGTTATGGCTCCTCGACACGCGCGCCCACGCGAAGGGGAATTTCACGACAACGCGTGCGATGACCCACCAAACCCTCGCTGCTGCTGCTTCCGCAGCGGTGGATGAACAACTGCCACGTTGCGTAGCCACGTGCCTAGCCCCACG